TAAATAGCATGCTCTTTTCGGCCAGACTCGTCATGCTTACCCAGCACACATCCCATAAAATTGTCGAGCACTGTCAAGTATAAGATCAAAGGTTTCCCTTCAACTGGAGGCATCAGAATAGGAGGCTTTTGGAGATATTCCTTGATCCTTTCGAAAGCGGCCTGACACTCATCATTCCACTTTACCACTTGATCTTTCTTCAGCAGCTTGATGATTGGCTCACAAGTAGCAGTCAAGTGCGAAATGAATCGGGCAATGTAGTTCAGACGTCCCAAAAAACCTCTGACTTCTTTTTCTGTTCAGGGAGCTGGCATCTCCTGTATAGCCTTCACTTTTACAGGATCCACTTGAATACCTTTGTCACTAACGACGAAACCCAACAGCTTACCAAACCTCACCCCGAAGGTATACTTGTTCGGGTTTAACCTCAGCTTGTACATCTTCAACCTATCGAATAGCTTCCGAAGATGGTCAAGATGTTCTTCTTCAGTTTGGGACCTTGCAATCATGTCATCAACGTACACCTCAATCTCATGGTGAATCATGTCATGGAACAAAGTGACCATGGCGTGCTGATACGTGGCCCCAGTATTCTTCAATCCGAACGGCATGACTTTGTAGCAAAAGGTACCCCACTGCATAACAAAATTCGTCTTCTCCATGTCCTCGGGAGCCATCTTAATCTGATTGTAACCAGAAAAATCATCCATAAAGGAGAAGATCTTGTGTTGCGTGGTGTTGTTGACCAGAACATCGATGTGAGGCAGAGGGAAATCATCCTTGGGGCTCGCCCTGTTCAGATCTCTGTAGTCTACACACATACGTACCTTTCCATCCTTCCTCGGCACCGGAACCATGTTGGCAACCGACTGCGGGTAGGAAGTAACAGCTAGAAAACCAGAATCAAACTGTTTCATGACCTCAGCTTTGATTTTCTCTGACATCTCTGGGCGCATGCCGTGAACTTTATGCTTTACCGGAGGACAGTCTTCCTTAGTTGGCAAGCGGTGAACCAAAATGTCGGTATCCAACCTAGGCATATCTTCATAAGACCAAGAGAAGATCTCAACATAGTCACGTAACATTCGTATCAACCGTTGCTTGACACTAGGCTCTAGATTTGCACCGATCTTGACCTCTTTCTTGTCTTCCTCTGTACCCAAATTTACTGATTCTACTGGCTCTTCATGCGGCTGTATGGCCCTCTCTTCCTGAAGTAACAATCTAACAAGTTCCCCAGGCACTTCACAATCGTCTTCACCTTCGTCCTCGGCTTGGTTGATCGGATTTTCAAAGTCATAAGTTGCAGTAGCAGAGTCGTTATCAGTGGGATCCAGAGTGGATGTGGACCTGTATTATGATATGTGAGTGTGTGTAAGACAAATAGTCGTTTTGATAAAGTTCAAGATAGAAAGAAAAACAAGGAGCGTAAAATTTGTAATGCAGGAAAACGTCCAATGTTTTATTGATGATATATGAAAATGACAAATGACAAGACCTCACAAACAAAGCCAAGGTTCCTCGGGCAAGGCATCGGGCTGTAAAGTTTCAAATTGTCTATTACAAATTTCAAAACAAAAGTCTATTACTGTGTAATAAAAGAAACGGGCACGAAGTCCTTCGCCGTCCAATTGTTCAAGCCACCGTTGGTAGTCGGGTAAATCCATCTGTCGATATCTGACTCTTCATCATCATCTTCAATTGCATTCACTCCTGGATTACTGATGCGCAGAGGAGTTCTTCCAATTCGCACACGCCGAACAACCCTTTAAGCTTCTGCAGTAAAACCCAAACCAAACTTGTCAGTCTTGTGTGCAAAGTCAGTGAGTTGGCCCTTATTTGCACACCCACCTTTTTCAATAACATCCCTGGCATCCTTGAGGGAAGCCATCTCCATTGGAGGTTCTTCAACGGCCACTTCAGTCGACGCCATAGTCTGGGGGACTTCTTCAAAGTTCTGACACGGGGTTTCGATGAACTCTCCATCCATCTCCACATACCGAAAAGAGTTAAGGTGGCTCACCATGTACTCCTCTTCTCCTCGTACTGTAACAATCTTCCCCTTTACTGGATATTTCAAACATCTGATGGAGCGTGGAAGTCACTGCCCCAGCTTTATGAATTCACAGGTGACCCAGCAAACAAGAATAAGATGGTCGGATGTCCATCACATAGAACGTAGATGCAAAACTCTGAGAGCCAACTTTAACAGGGACATCCACCTCCCCATGCACCATCCTTTTGGACCCGTCAAAGGCCCTAACCACGATATTACTCGGCTTCAGAACCAACCCCTCACAGTCCAGCCGATCTAATGCTCTCTTGGGTAAAACATTTAATGAGGACCCAGTATCCACCAGCACATGGGCCAGAGTAGTTCCCCTGCACTCGATCGAAACATGCAGAGCGTCATTATGATTTCTTCCTTTATCAGTCAGATCTGCGTCGGAGAAACCCAACTCGTTGTCAACGGTCAAACTAGCCATACAGTCTTTGAATTGATCAGCAGATGTTTCTTGCGGTACATGTGCAGTTTTAAGGAAAGCAATTAAAGCCTTTGCATGGGCTTCAGAGCACAACAATAAAGATAACATGGAGATCTTCAACAGGGTTTGCCCCAGCTGCTCGACTATGTTGTAGTCGCTCTTCTTGATAATCTTCAGAATTTCCTCTATCTCCTGTCTAGAGGTTTCTACAACAATCTTCTTAGACGCCTCTGTCCGGGCAGGCTCACCTGTGATCTCTTTGCCCCGAGCGTCAGATGACTCGACGACATGGGTGATAATTGGAATATGAACTGGGACAATAGCTGATGTACTGGAAGATGGAATAGCAACAGGCTTTTGAACAGTCGGTGGGGAAATCTCAGGAGAGAAAAGTCTTCCGCTTTGGGTGACTTTGCTAGCCCCGACAATATTGCTGACATTAGTATCAGCCTCTTCAACCTTCAAGTCTTGTTTGATCCTATGATAATACACATCGGCCCCATAGTGCCACGGGACAGCCTTATCCGAAGTGTAAGGGATAGGACCAGGAATAATAATGATCAATGGAGCAACTCTTGTAACAGGTGTAATCCTAACAGGCTTTCTCGAGGAAGCCTTGGAAGGATTGGAGGAAATGGTTATGATGGAAACATCTTCAACAGGAATCAACGGAATCAAAGTTTTATCGAACAGGATCTCTTTGTTATCCATCAAGCGTTGAACACCTGACTTCAATAAACGGCAACCAGCAGGCAGGATTGAACATAGGTGGCAACCTTCGCCACAGCCCGGAAATAAATTGGCCGATAATAGATTCTTCTTTACTCTCATCAACGGAGTAGAAATGTCTTCCACAAAGGTCACAAAAGAATCATCGTCCACAGCATTTACTCCATGCTTGGGCATGGGAGCAGTTATGACATTAGGCTTTTCCAGTGCGTCAAACTCAATTTCTTTAGCTTCAATCAGATCTTGCACCTTATTCTTCAAGGCCCAGCAATTGTTGGTATCATGCCCTGGGCTATCGGAGTGATAGGCGCAGCGGGTGTTCGGATTATACAGCGGTGACATGGTGCTGGGATTCTTTGGGGCCTCCCTCAGAGTTATCAGGTTAGTCTTCAACAATTGTGGTAGAATTTGAGACAAGGTCATACTGAGCCGAGTATACTGTCTTTGCGGTCTCTCTACTCTTTGCTGATTGTTGTGCTGTGGGGAAACAGTGGGTCTTGATATTACTACCGCATTTACTGCTCGGCGGCGTTCAGGTCAATTTTGGCTCCTCGAGCTGTAAACTGCACTAGCTTCTTTTTTGAAAGGCTTCTTTTCTGTACTTGATGAAGCACCTTTCTGTATCTTGCCACTTTTGATACCAGCTTCTACCCTCTCCCCAGTCAAAGTCAATTCAGTGAACCCTGATGATGAACTACCAATCAAATGATTGAAAAACGGACCATACAAGGTCCCCAGAAACATATCAACCAACTCCCTATCAGATAGGGGGGTTGGACTCTTCCAGCCAGATCTCTCCACTTCTGAGCACAGTCCTTAAAGCCTTCGCTTGCACCCATGGACATACCCTGAAGCTGAGTACGAGTGGGAGCAAGGTCGGCGTTATACTGGTACTTTTTGTAGTAAGCAGCAGCAAGGTCTTCCCAGTTGCGGACATTAGCTCCTTCCAATTGATAAAACCATTCAAGGTGAGTCCCTGACAGACTATCTTGAAAGAAATGGACCCACAGATTCCTATCAGAAGTATAGGGTTGGATTTTTCTGACGTATGAGCGGAGATGGAGCTTCGGGCAGGATACCCCATTGTATTTAGCAAAAACAGGAGCTTTGAATTTGTGAGGGATCACCACCCCAGATGCCAGTCCCAAATCTCCAAAGTCCAAACCAGGTATCTTATGGATCTCCATTGCACTCAGCCGGTCTTCAAGTTGCTTATACCTGTCCTCAGCAGGAGGATACTGTTCTTCATCAAAATCAGTGTCATTATCAGAGACCACAGGACTAGGACCCTTTCTTTCCTCTTGATTCTCTCCTCCTCCGGATGAATGAGACAGATCAGATTCCTGTCGCAACCTATTCCCAAATTTGTGACCCATATTCAGCAGAACCACCTTTTTCTTCTTCTTCTTCTTATTCTTCTTCTCTTTTACGATGAGAGTCTTCAAATCCTGTTGTCCTTTGGCCAAGTTCAAGAACATCTCCTGGAATTGAGCATTCTACGCTTGAAGAGCTTTGATGGCTTGATCAGTAGGTGTTTCAGAAGACATTATGTGCTGAAATAAACAACGAAGAAGATAAGAAACCTGTAATGGTACCTGTGATGAGGTGCATGGTAATGGAATGCGTATGAAATGATTTCAAAGACTTTGGGAGATTTAAAATTGCAAACCAAGAAATAACAAACTTTATTAGATTCAAACTTGTAAAAAATTTTAACAATGCCTTTAAGGCGTTACAAAAGAAATAAACTGAAAATAAATCTAAACTAGAAAACAATAAAAAAAATCAGAAGTCCCATGGTCGTTTTCCCTTCATGCTGACATAATCGTTGATTGTCTTCTCATTCTCAAGTTGCCTCGTAAGCTTCAAAATCTTCCTCTCCTGCTCATGATACTTCTCCCTGTAGGTATCTCTTTCTTCCTTCAGTTGAATCCAGGATCTCTTTAATTCCCCAAGATCAGTAGGCATGTAGGGATGAAGGACTGTGTAAGGAATCCCTTCTTCATTAGTATGCTCCACAATCACTGGAAAAACAGCTTCATAAGGCATCCCCAGCTTTTGAGCACGAGCTCGAACCCACTGGAGATAAGGTTGCATAGGGAGAGAAGTCTTTAATCCTAGCTCTTGAGGGTCAGACCCGTTCACCATGCCCCAGGCTCGTATAAACCTTCGGCAATGCTCATCCACGTCCCCCTTGTAGTCAAAGACAATATCTGTAAGAAGCATCTCATGGGGACCGTCTCTCCGAGCGCGTCCAAATTGTCGTAAAGCCAAACAAGGATTGTAGGTTATTCCCCCTTTAATTCCCAGCAACGGGACATTACGGTATTCACCACATCGATCAATGACAGCTACTTTTTCCATATCCTTAGAACTCCAAAGAATATTCGTATGAGCAAGGGACATGATTCTGTAAGCCCAACCTACACCTTCCTCATTCTTCAATACAGACTTGGGGAGGTGCGAAATAAACCACCTCGCCAGCAGCGGCGTGCAACACATGAGGGTCCCCCTTCTTCGCACAGTACGGGTATAGAGAGCATGTAAAATATCACCCAAGAGAGTAGGCACTAGATTACGAGACAAGAAGATCTTGACCGCATTCTCATCTATGAAGGAATCTGGATTCGGGAAAAGAACCAAGCCGTAGATGAGGAGAGCCAAGATGTCTTCAAATGCTTGAAAGTCTAAATTATCCCAGAACTGTTGAGCTTGATCCATTAGAAACTTAGCCAAGAAACCTTTAACCCCGCTCTGTGTCTCCTAGTTGGATACTACATCAGCTCTTTTTAGATGTAAGGCTGAAGCAATGTCCTCAGGTCTAGGAGTCTCTTCCAAACCTGTAAAGGGTGTCTGCTCTAGAATGGATATGCCTAGCAAGTCAGAAAACTCCTCCAAAGTAGGAACTAGCTGATAATCCGGGAAGGTGAAACAATGATGTAACGGATCAAAGAACTGGAACAGCACACTCATCATTTGCTCATCCAAATTTGAAGTGACCAGGCTAAGGAGATGACCATGTCTTCTAACAAATGAAGAAGTATCAGGAACTTTTGAGACTAACTCTCTGAGCTGAACAGGTATCTGCACGAAGTTAACTCGAATGGTATTTCTACATACTGAAGTTATAATCTGCAAAACAGAACAAAGATAAATCCCCTCGGTCTTTGAAATGGTTAGTACAATGAAGTATGCATGCTATGTCATGATGCATGATGTCATGATAAAACACACAACAGGTATATCAGGTAACAACATGGTAAAGGCACACAAGTCACACAATAGCCCTTAAGTTTAGGCTTGCATGGAGTCTAGGTACTACCCTCTTGCAGTTCAGTTGGTTCAACTTGTCCTAATAATATTAACTGAGTTCTAGAGGTTCTCAATATCACTGACCATCCTCCATCGGTCATGGTTTCAGCTCACGCAATCTTTTCTTGCGGCCGAAACTATCTCGAGAGTATGCTCTCAATGAGTTTAGTATCGAGTATCAACCAGTTCTCAGCTCTATACCGAGGCCGGCTATCTCACTACTTCCTATGGCCAAGTTGGTTAATTATAGGTTCTAAGGTCCGTTGATGCTTAACGACCCATATAGCAGCCTTGTATTCTCCTTGTTCCTCCATAAGGGATACTGGTACTAACTAATGTGCCACATCAACGTAGCTACTGCTTCAACCATATCGGTCGATGCCGTACATTTCCCTCACAGTTTATTGCTACTTACCTAAAAGGTGTTCCCCAGATTCGGGTTAGGATCTATAGTAACTCCGATATAAAGCCCACAAAAATAAATCAATCAAATCAAACAATAGAAGCAATATGATGAACTAATCCTAAGGTATACCCCACTTAAGACTCCCCAGCAGAGTCGCCAGTTCTGTGATACGGTGGCCAGAACCGGGACTGTTTTGAAATGCTGGTTTGCGTTTTGCGTTTGTGTTTGCAAAATGTCGCGGTAAGCAAGAGTCGCCACCGACTTTTATTTTATCCAATGGGAAAGGAAAAAAGCACAGAAAAATTCCTTTTTCGAGATATTATGAGTACAGGGGGTAGATTATAGAAAGGGAAGGTATTAGCACCCTTTCTATCTGTAGCTTTCTACGGGCTCTTAGGTACTTGCTCATCATTTTAAAAATTGCTTGTGTGTTTGTGTGATTTGAAAAGTTTTTGTTTTGACTTCGATTTAACTCTTGCTTCTGTCTTCAAGAGTGTTACGAAGTGTTTTTGAAAACTTTATTTGAAAAGGAGTGTAAGTGTGAATAAGTTTATTTGTTTTGAGCAAGTACTTAAGAACTAATCTACCTACTCAAAAAAAGAATTGTTCTATGTTCATTTCCTTTAGACAGCGTTATCCCACTATTAGTAAGTAGGTAGCACCGTCGTTGGAGTTTTAAGGGTCAATTCGAAAAGGGAGGTACGATCACTAAAGCAATGTTAGGGCGTCTTAGTAATAACTCTAATGTCTTAAGATCAATATTTGAGGCAACAATTCTGAGGCAACCATTCCGAGGCAACTTTTCCGAACGGGACTTTGATCTTTATTTAGACAAGAGAGCGACCACTAAAATATCCTATACCTAATGATCGTTTACCGAAGGCAACCGAAGTGGGAGTGTATCCTAGGAGTGCGCATGTGCGAGTGATTCAATTTCAAGTTTATTATCTTTGCACATTTAGGGTTTGCTAACCTTTTTAAAGTTTACATACATTCTTGTCATGCATTCCTAATATTCATACATCTAACAGTTAATATTTTGCGGAATTTAAAGTGCGGAAAATAAGCTACGCTATTACAAGGCTTCGGGTATTTACATAGCCAATAACAAACCCGTCAAAACGATAAATGAAAAAGAGAAAAATCCTAACTAATCTATTACAACATGTGAGAAATTACATCAATATGGTAAAAATAAATAAATAAAGCGCGTGCGAATATAGAACGAAGGGAAATTTGGGTTTTGACCCCTTCTAACCTAATTGAAAGAAAAAATTGTTTTTGTTGTTTTTAATTATTTCTAACAAAAATAATTAGGTTTTTAAATTAAATACAAAATTAATTAGTAATTGAATTAATTTAAAGAAAATGATTTACATGGCCTATTTTTGTATTTTATTGTTTTTAAGAAAAAGAAAGTAGAATTAAATTAGAAACAAAAACCTAATTGTTCTAATTGTTTTTAATTTATTTACAAAATAATCTAAGTTACCTAAAATTAAACAACCTAATTAAATTAATTAATTTTTTGATAAAAAATAAACCTAAATCTAATTGGATGAAAATATTATTTTTGTGATTTTTTGATAAAAAGAAAAATTAATTTGTGTTAGTGAAATAATTAAATAAATTAATTAAGAAAAATATAAAAAGGAGAAGAAAGAAGAATTGGGCCTGTGAAAGTAAATTGGGAGTGTGCTGATAGCAAGTCTTGGGCCCAAAAGGAATTGATCCATGTTGTCTTGCTGGATCCCATGTGTTGCATTGACTAAGGCCTATGATGGTCCTTCATATGCTAGCCTTCAGATCTGGCTTCCAGGAGATCCAATGGTTGGATCCTGAGGTCACATGGTGGTCTCTTGGCTTTGTGTGCACGCCTGATCAATTAAAGCAAAATAGCATGAAATATGGGGGGACCTGGGATTCAAATCCAGTTCCTGAAGCCTTTTACACTCGCCTGGCTACCAACTGCGCTAGCTTTGTTAATTGTTCATATAATAAACATAAAAAATAATATGAGAAAACAAAAAAATACTAAATCCAAACGCACGAATTTTCAAACGGGCGAATGGTTGCTTGCCACGACATCTTCTTCTCCAAGGATCTGTTGTCTTAGATTGAAATTCTGGCTGCAGATACTCAATGTCACGTTCAATGTTATGACACCGTATGTGACTTACTATATGACAGTAAATACAAAAGCAATAAAGAACACAGTCAATTGTTTACCCAGTTCAGTGTGCAACAACACCTACTCTGGGGGCTACCAAGCCAGGGAGGAAATCCACTATAAGAGATGTTAATTCTGGAATAAACCAACCAGTTTATCTCCTTCACTTAAGACCTACCCAATGCAATTTCAATCTAAGTACAACTTAAACCTGAGTTCCTACTCACTCCCCCTCAATCACAGCAGTGATACATAAACCAATTTGACTTAAGAATTGATGAAGACACTCTTCAAAAACAAACACTTGATTAAGCTTCACAACTTTTTAATCAAGCAACACAATCACTCGTGCTTCACAGCTTTGAGTGATGCACACAACTAACTTGACTCTGCTTCACAGCTTTAGTCAAGGAACATTCAAACACTCTTGCTTCAAATCTTTGAGTGCTACACAGCCCTTACAATTCGAAACCTATTCCAAGTCACTTATCACAATGATAATTGCTTGGAGTACAATAATCAAATCTATACAGATTACAAATGATCTTCTGATCAATAAAAGGGATGCCTTGAAAAACAGCAGCTCTGTTGAATATATAGCAGCTGCAACTTCAGTTAGGGTTTCCACAAAAACCTAGGGTTAATTCCGTTTGACCTAAAGACCAGGTCACAAGACTTTATTAACCAGGTCAGGGTTGAGCTAGGTTACCCCTCAGAAAACGCAGGATTCTGTTCAGGAAAGACTGAGTTATTTTCCTGAAAAAACTCAGACTTATCCAACCTGCAAACCTGTTAGTTCAGAACAGGATGTCATAACATCTGTTATGACATCTGAGAAAACCTGTCTACTGATTTAGCAAAATGTGATCATTTTGCAAAATGCTCAGATACACACTTATAAACATCAGTACTTGAATTACAATATTTTTTTGCAAAGGTACCTAATGAGTCAGTACAAACTGAACTAGAATGTTATGACATCAGTCATGACATTAACACATACACTTGGGATTTACCAAAAATGCAAGCCAATACCTAAACACCTACAAACTCCCCCTTTGGTAGATTTTTGGCTAAAGACCCTAAGCAATCAGAGATAGATAGCAGCAGAAATAAGTGACAGCAGAAAAATAGAATGTCAAGTACTAATTAAGTAAGTACCAAAATATTCTCCCCCTCTTTAGCCACAAAAGGGCCAAAGATACATGTTCATAAAATTATACAGTTATCCAAAACAAAAATAATAAGAGCAGCAGCAGAAAACAACTGAATACACTTCCAAACTCCACCAGATATCAGCACCAACCAGCAATACCACCAAACAGCAACCAACCTTCAAGCACTGTCATCAGATCCAGAGGATTCGGGCTTCTTTCTTTTCTTGTGAGCAATGTCAGCATTCTTCTCTTTGTTTGATGTCTCAACATTCTTAGAGACATCTGGATTTGTTTCAGCATTTGAGCTTTCTTGGTTCAGAGGAACAGAAATGCCAGGAACTGAGTGGTTCTCGTTCAGAATTCTTGAAACAATTTTTGCTATTGCTTGATTAACATAGGTTGTCCCTTCCCTATTTGCAATTTCAAAGGGAACTGAAGAAGAAGGATGAGATGGATTACCAGAGGCAGAAGGTTGGGGCTTTCCTGCATGTCTTGTTCTCAACTCTTTGACCTTGGTGGGGTTAGTTCCCACTTTTCTACGAGAAGAGATCTCCAGAACGTCAGAGTCCAGACAAGAAGAGATTGTCCTAGAATCTTGATCAGAGGAAGAGGTTGAAATAGTCGTATTGGATGATGATGGTGTTTGAGACATTTTGAAAGTCTTAGAGGACCAACAGCAACTAAGGAGAAATTTCTGATTGAGAGACTGGGTTTTGATGAGGAGACGAGAGGGGAAGGAAGCAAGGGAGTGTCTATTCAACTTCTTAAAAGAATTGTAGGAAATGAGAAAATACAATTTTAAACCAATCAGAACCGGCATAACTCCTTTGATCCTTGTTTTAAGCAAAATTAATTGCTACAATTCCTCATGTTGGCAAATACCCAGCTTACCCCTTAAGTTTTCAAATTGATTTGCATCCAGAGCCTTGGTAAAAATGTCAGCCAGCTGTAGCTCAGTGGCAACATGTTCCAATTTGATTGTCTTCTCTTCTACAAGGTCTCTGATAAAGTGATGTCGTATGTCAATATGTTTGGTCCTGCTATGCTGAATGGGATTCTTGGATATGTTGATTGTACTCAGATTGTCACAGTACAATGTCATAACATCTTGTGTGACATTATACTCAGTGAGCATCTGTTTCATCCATATCATTTGAGAGCAGCTACTACCAGCTGCAATGTATTCAGCTTCAGCAGTGGAAAGAGACACACAATTCTGTTTCTTGCTGAACCAGGAAACCAGATTACTTCCCAAGAAGAAACATCCTCCAGAGGTGCTTTTTCTATCATCAGCACTACCAGCCCAATCAGCATCACAGTAGCCAGTCAGAGCTGGTTCACAGCCATGAGTATACATCAATCCATAGTTGTAAGTACCACTTACATACTTCAAAATTCTCTTCACTTGATTGATATGACTGACTTTGGGATCAGCTTGGTATCTAGCACAAACTCCAACTGCAAAGGCAATATCAGGTCTGCTGGCAGTTAAGTACAACAAGCTTCCTATCATGCTTCTGTACAGACTTTGATCCACCTTAACCCCACTTGAATCTTTGGAAAGCTTTAGATGAGTAGGAGCAGGAGTCCTTTTGTGACTTGCATTCTCCATACCAAACTTCTTTACAATATTCTTAGCATACTTGCTTTGAGATAAGAAGATTGAGTCCTCCATCTGTGAGACTTGTAGTCCAAGAAAATAAGTTAGTTCTCCCATGAGACTCATTTCAAATTCAGCCTGCATCTGGTCAGCAAAGTGTTTAACCATATGTTCTGACATTCCTCCAAACACTATGTCATCAACATATATTTGGGCAACCATCAACTTCCCTCCTTCAGTTTTGACAAAGAGAGTTTTGTCCAAACCTCCTTTTCTGTAGCCTTTGTCTGAGAGAAACTTTGTTAACCTGTCATACCATGCTCTAGGAGCTTGTTTCAGGCCATATAGAGCTTTTCTCAATTTGTAGACATGATCAGGGTGGGTTGGATCCACAAAACCTTTAGGTTGTTCCACATAAGCTTCCTCATTTAAGTACCCATTTAGAAAGGCACTTCTCACATCCATCTGAAATAACTTGAACTTCAGAAGACAAGCAATTGACAACAAGAGTCTGATTGATTCCAGCCTGGCTACAGGTGCAAAGGTTTCATCAAAATCAACCCCTTCAACCTGGGTGTATCCTTGAGCAACAAGTCTTGCCTTATTTCTGGTGACAACTCCTTCAGCATCTGACTTGTTCTTGAATATCCATTTTGTCCCAATGATGTTAGTTCCTTCAGGTCTAGGAACCAGTTCCCAAACTTCATGTTGCTTGAATTGGTTCAGTTCATCTTGCATTGCACCAATCCAATATTCATCAGTTAAGGCTTCCTTGACATTTCTTGGTTCCATTTTGGACACAAAACAAGAGTTTGAGATGATTTCTCTAGATCTTGTGATGACTCCACTATTGGGATCTCCTATGATGAGCTCTTTTGGATGATCCTTCTGAATTCTGATGGAAGGGATCTTGCTAGCTTCCTTTGATTCAGATTCTGTTGTGGTGGAGTTGGGTAGGTCATTCTGTTGGGTTGAAGTCTCAAAGAATGTCTCAACAGTACAAGGAACATCTATTTCTTCATGATAGTCATCAATTATAACATTTATTGATTCCATCATGGTTTTGGTTCTGGAGTTGAATACTCTATAAGCTCTGCTGTTTGAGGAGTATCCTAGAAATATGCCTTCATCACTTTTGGGGTCCAGTTTTCTTCTTTGTTCACGATCAGACAGAATATAGCATTTGCTGCCAAACACATGGAAGTACTTCACAGTTGGTTTTCTTCCTTTCCAGAGTTCATATATGGTGGATGAGGTTCCCTTTCTCAAGGTGACCCTGTTATGAACATAGCAAGCTGTATTCATAGCTTCAGCCCAAAAATACATAGGAAGTCTTTTGGCATGTAACATTGCTCTGGCAGATTCTTGTATGGTCCTGTTTTTTCTTTCCACAACTCCATTTTGCTGAGGTGTTATAGGAGAAGAAAACTCATGACTGATTCCTTCTGAAGAACAGAAGTCATCAAACTTGCTGTTTTCAAATTCCTTGCCATGATCACTTCTGATTCTGACAATACATCCTTCCTTCTCTCTTTGAATTCTCTTGCACAGTTCTCTAAAAACTTCAAATGCATCTGATTTTTCCCTAATGAAATTAATCCATGTGAATCTGGAAAAATCATCCACAACCACATAGGCATATCTTTTACCACCAAGACTCTCTACTTGCATTGGTCCCATCAGATCCATATGGAGGAGTTCTAGAACCTTAGAGGTGGTCAGATGTCTTGACTTTGGATGTGACATCCTAGTCTGCTTACCAACCTGACATTCACCACAAACTCTTCCTTCATTAATTTGCAGTTTTGGAATCCCTCTGACTGCCTCCAAGGAGATAATCCTCTTCATACCCCTTAGATGAAGATGGCCAAGTTTTTGGTGCCACAGTTTCACCTCTTTTTCTTCTTTTGCAATGGAACACGCAGATGAGAAATTAGTGTTCTCAGGCTCCCACAAGTAACAGTTGTCTTTGGATCTGATTCCTTTCATTACTATCTCTTGTTTGTCATTGATTACAAGGCATTCAGATTTTGAGAAATTGACCTTGAATCCTAGATCACACAGTTGACTGATACTAATGAGATTAGCGGTCAGCCCTTTCACCAGCAGTACTTCATTCAGACTTGGAACTCCATGGCAGTCCAAATCACCAACTCCTTTGATTTCACCTTTAGCCCCATCTCCAAAGGTCACAAAACTGGTGGTGTGAGGCTTAACATTATTGAGGAGGTTCTTGATTCCAGTCATGTGTCTGGAACATCCACTGTCAAAGTACCAGTCTTCCTTTGCAGAGACCCTCAGGGAAGTGTGAGCTATCAGTGCAGTAGCCTTTTTCTTCCATTGAGGCGCATGTGGTACCTTTTTAGACTTAGGTTTGACACCTGAGTTCTGATTAGGGTATCCATGTAATCTGAAGCAGAAGGGCTTTATGTGGCCATATCTCCCACAATGATGACATTTCCATCTTTGGTACCTTTTCCTCATATGTCTCTGTTCCTGATGTCGAGAGTTGTGTTGAGACATCTGTTTTGATATTTGCTTACCAGAACCAGATTTCGTTGCTTCCATAAATCCTAGTCCAGATTTATTTCCCACATTTTGTCCAACCTGAAGGATCTCTTCCAATTTGTCTGTTCCATTTGTCAACATCTTGACAGATTTGGTCATTTGATTCAGTTGTGAGTTCAGCAATTGAACTTCTCCTTCTAGATGACTTATAGTTTCAAGGTTTGCCCTTTTTTCAGCCTCCAGCTTTATGATGAGTTTTGATTGTTTCTCATTCTGCACACAGACTTCAGTACTTCTGATACACAATTCCTTGTAAGTATCAGCCAGTTCTTCAAAAGTCACCTCTTCATCACTGATGTCACTTTCAGAGGTACAAACACCAGTTAAAGCAGTAACTCGTTTGGCAGTCTCTTCTTCAGAATTACTTTCTGAATCACAGTCAGACCAAGTAACTGTAATTCCTTTTTGTTTCTTAAGAAAGGTAGGACATTCAGCTCGAATATGCCCATATCCTTCACAACCATGGCATTGAATTCCTCTGCCTTGAATTCCCTTCTCTTCTGACCTTGGTCTTCTGCTGGAACTGTCAATGTTAGAGGGAATGTTATGAACATTAGACCTTGACTTTGGATTTATTCTTTTGATGAGTTTGTTGAACTGTCTTCCAAGCATGGCTACAGCTTCTAAAATGTTTTCTTCAACATCAGTGTTGGACATAAGTGCTATGCTCTTGTTCTTCTTGACACCATTATCAGTGATTCCCATCTCAAAAGTATGAAGAGACCCAATAAGTTCATCCACTTTCAACTTGCTAATGTCCTGGGCTTCCTCTATGGCAGTTACCTTCATTGCAAATCTTTTAGGCAAGGATCTGAGAATCTTCCTCACCAGTTTTTCTTCTGACATCTTTTCTCCCAGTGCTCCTGAGGTGTTGGCAATCTCCAAGATGTTCATGTGAAACTCATGAATGGTTTCATCTTCCATCATTTTTAGATTCTCAAACTTGGTGGTCAGCATCTGAAGCCTTGACATTTTTACTTTGGAAGTGCCCTCATGAGTAGTTTTGAGAGTGTCCCAAACTTCCTTGGCCAGTTCATATTGATGTACTAGTCTGAAAATGTTTCTATCAATTCCATTGAACAAGGCATTTAAATCTTTTGAATTTCCCAGAGCTAACTCATCTTCTTCTTTACTCCAATCTTCCTCAGGCTTCAGACTGATTGTCCCATCTTTCTCAGTTATGGTGGGATGAATCCATCCTTTGTCAGCAGCTCTCCAAGCCTTTTTGTCCAGAGATTTTAGGAAGGCAATCATACGAGGTTTCCAGTAGTCATAATTAGTTCCATCCAGAATGGGTGGTCTATTTCCAAAAACTCCTTCTTTGTCCATAGTTCCAGAAAGTGATATCCCTAGATCTCACCCAGTAATACACGCAGGGTGCCTGCTCTGATGCCAATTGAAATTCTGGCTGCAGATACTTAATGTCACGTTCAATGTTATGACACCGTATGTAACTTACTATATGACAGTAAATACAAAAGCAATAAAGAACACAGTCAATTGTTTACCCAGTTCAGTGTGCAACAACACCTACTCTGGGGGCTACCAAGCCAGGGAGGAAATCCACTATAAGAGATGTTAATTCAGGAATAAACCAACCAATTTATCTCCTTCACTTAAGACCTACCCAATGCAATTTCAATCTAAGTACA